CCCCCCCCCCCTCCTCTTTTTTTTTTCTTTCCCGACTCGAAATAAATTCGCCGAGAATCGAGTCGCGAAGGAGCGAAACTATGAGGCCGAAGCGAGGCTCGTGACGCATATTGGGACCGAGGATATTTCCATGAAATCCCTCCTAAAAATACTTGACGGATGTTGAATCTCGCGGCTACGTTTCTCCTTTTGCTACTGTTACTGCCTTCTAGCTCTCTGTTAGCGGCAGGAAATGCTTCTCTCCCGTAGGAACGAGCCCCAGGAATTCGAGAAGAATGCGACCGCCCTCTCGTCCGACTTGTTGTCCTCTGACGTCATCCTCTCTTTTAGTCAATGAATCCCATCTACCACGGTCTCACCCTAAAACGATTAGTCCTTCGGCGATCCTTGGCGATCGTAGGAAATTGGAATCTGGATGAAAAATTTCGTCGTGAACCGAGAAAGCCTCCGTGTAATAACATAAGATATTAAATAATTATATTTTTGTACATTTTATACATGGATATATGGTTTCATTTTATATATGGATCGAAAGGTAAAGATTTTTCATTGATTTGAACTGCTTTTAATTGTAATAGTATAATTAAGTCGCTTCGAATCGAAATAATCATCTTCGTTATTTTTCGTAAATTTGTATTGACTTTTTTAAACTTATCGGAACAATCTTTTTTCTTTTTACCAAAAGGATTTTCATCAAGGATATAATATTCACTTTCTTATACGATAAAATGTTTCTACTCTTTTTTTTTTTCTTTTTTTTTTTTTTCAACGGCGACGAAAAACTGTTGGTCGCGTGATCGGGCTCATTTCGCCCGATATAAAATTATGTGGCGTTACATCGTGCTGTTAATAACTCCTGTAACGTTTCTCCTAAAGTAACGCCTGTAATGATCTTTAAAACAACGCTTTGGTTGGCTCTGATACGAGGAAAGTATCCGGTATTCTTGTCGTCGAACTCCACGTGTGTGGCTCGGTTTGTGCCTGGAATCGATTCGTGCCTGGAAATTTAATGGAAAAGAAAGATTTTTACAAAAAAAAAAAAAAAAAGAAGAAGAAGAAATTTATTGCGAAATATTCCCGATCCGAATTTCCCAATTTTATGAAATTGAAACGAGAGTTAGAAATCATCCGCGATACAATTCTGACGTAGTAATTCGATGACCCGATAACTCGATAACTCTCGAGTTTACTTAACGAACAGATTAATTCTTCCGTGGAATAAAGCAAGTGAAAAATTTATATTTATCAATTTAATTACAACTTAACAAAATTTTAGGTTATTTCGTTATTTTTTTTTTTTTTTTTATGAAAACGATGTGTTACGAATCTTCGAGTTTATCGTATAAGAACTTAATGATACGCGAAGAATCTTGATTAAGATGTAAAGAGTAATAAAATTATACAGCCATATATTTAATTTATTCTGCATCTCTCTCTGCCTTTTTTTCCTCGATCGAAGCTCGAGGAATAGCGCTTTAATGAAGATGAATAGCATTTTTTTTTTTTTTTTTTTTTTACATCAATCCACTTTTTTTAATAATATATATAATCGACATCATGCACCATCGTTGTAACTTCGTTTGAAAAATATCTACTATAAGGCATTAATTAACTGTGTGAAAAGTATATGCACGTAGTTCAGATATTGGAAACGTCTCGTTTGATCATATTATTATCGTAATAAGATGCGCGTCTACGTCGAAGAATTTCTATTATTATAGCTACAATAATAGATAAAGCTTCGAACGTGCATTTAACTTTCTTCTACGGAGAAATTGTCAAGAAATTATGAAGTTTGAAATAACATTCCTAGAAACGTGCTGCGTTCGTGCGCACGCGTGTTGAATATATCTGCAAAAGATAATGTTAAATAAATTATGTAAACTTAAAATTGCACAAGCGAATGAAAATACAGGATCGTTGGAATGTGTTGGAAACACATATTCTTGCGTAATGTTATTATCTTTGCGAGCCGACGCGCGGAACACTTAAGATTTCATCTAAATTTCAATTAACCATCCCATCATCGAGTCATTGACGATCGATAGGTGTTGTTATTCTCGAATAATACAATTCTTCTTTCTGAACTTTACTCGCTCGTTCATTGATTCATCGCTTTATCCAATCGTTTTAACCAATCGTACCTTAAAGTAACATTCGAAATATTATAGAATATATTATAGGATTTTTGCAACAAGGAATAAATAATATTATTATCGAAATTATTAAATAATTTCCCCCTTTGAAAAATAGTCGATCGATAATAATACTTTCGAAATATATAAAGACTGTAATACGATCCGACAATAACGAATGGAACGCGGTGTTCGAGGAATGAAATGAAAAGCGATTACATACGTGCATTCCTTCCTTCAAATCCAAATCCCAAAGTAAACAATTAATAATCAACGAAGCGGACGTACAAGCTCTCGAGAGGAGTCGAGATCAGAATTTCTAACGTGTACAAATATAATCGAGCCTACGTGTCGTACAGGTGCTCCTCGGCCCAAGATGGAAGATAGCATTCTTACAAGCGAATTAGTCGGTCGTTTCGAATGTTAAACGAGAAAGCGCTATGTGTTACGTTGACGATGAATTATCCACCCACGATTGTCCATTACTTCAGACTCTGTATACTCTTGTCACCCTTCCTCGCACGTTCGTGGCTAAAATTTCCCTCGGGAATCTTCGTGCCGAACTATCTAGAAATTCGTGGAACCATCATCGCGTCACTTGGACATCATTGGTCGATCTCTTCGCTTCGTTTCTCGATCGCTTTGAATTCTTGCAAATTACTTTTGTCATTAATCATCTGTCTTGGTATCTGGCAATACCTTGGCATAACTCGTCGCCACGATGGATTGTAAAATAGTTTTTCGCGACAAACGTGTTTCCTGCTCTAATCCAATGATCTTTGTGAAATTATTACTATTAGATATTCTGATTCAGAGATACGTTTTATTTCTATTGCGACGATTTAAATCTTATTTTTATAGTAATTTTTCTCCAGTTGAATTTTACGTGTTTGTGATTATATATTTTCAAACTTTTGATTCATCATTTTTGAATGATATCGAGATATTGATTATAATTCATAAGTATATTATATAATAAGGGAAAAATAAGTGATTCGATGAATATTTGATAAAAATATATTTATATTATAATAGAAATTTTAGTGTTGAGAAATTATATTCAATTTGATGTCACGATGATCTATGCTATGATCGGGCATGTTCTATATATCAATATTATATTACAAAAATGTTTCTAATCTTAACTTCATCATTTCAAACAAAATTTCCTATTTTCCTATTACTATCTCGCTACAGGAATTAAAGAAAACAAATTGGCGCCATATAAACTAACCTAAAAGCTCACCTAATTTTACATCAAATATTTTGAATGTAAGCTAGCCTTCCATTTTATTAAAATAAACGGATAATAAAATAAACTTGGTCTCAAAGACTGCCTAAATTCAAACTGCGTGTCAAAAATATAACATCGACGATTACGAGAACCGATTCGCTAATCTAGCAAAACACTAAAACACCGATTAATCTTTTATTATTAACGTATCGCGGAAGAGGAAGAAAAAAAAATACATTAAAAAAAAAAAAACGAATCAACAGAAGAAGATATTCTTATATCGTTTCAATACCAAGGTGAAAAGGCCAAACGAGGAAATCACCACCGGTGCTATTAATCATCGTATTTGCATTTTCCATTGCTAACTACGATATTCGCTCATGGCAATTTTTATGATTATGGCATTACTCGGTGGCATTAAATAGAATCGCATCCTCGTTGAAATGACGATAAAAAAGAAAAAAAACTTTTTTGGTTAATATTCCTCTTCCTTCATATTTCTTCGCATATATCTCTCTGACTAATAATAAAAATTATTATCGAAACAAGATATTCAATATATACGCCGTAGAAAATATACATCGAATATCTATAACTCTTGGGAAACGAAATCCTTTAAAACTCACCATCCTTCTCGCCGAATCAAGCCAAGCACATCTTAAATTTAGATTTGAAATTTAAATAGGGGGAAAAAAAAAAAATTTTTTTTCGCATTTCGTGGACAAAAATGATTGTCCACGAGAACGCTTAAATACCAGCCAACAAAATCTTGGATGTCTTGGATTTGCAGCCTCGATGAGGATGCGGCTTAACGTTTTCGCGACAGCCACGCGTTGTATACGCGTTGTATACACGCGTTTGCATCATACCAGGTTCTAGGAAGATTCGTAACGCTTCCCTCTTTCTTTCACGTCCATAAATAAGACGCGGATCCCCGTCGCGATCGAATATTCGCTGGCCGAACCGCGACACAAGATTCCACGCCACTATTCCGTCTCTTGGGGGATGTTAGCACTCCATTACCGATTCTTCGAAACACCGGTCGCGGTGTTTGGTTTTCTGGTCAGTTCGGGATACGAAACTTATAAATAGGACGCGTGGATTCTATATCGAGGTTGAGACGAGGTTTCATCCCCTTTCGTTTAACCCGTTTTAACTGGTTCCAGATGGGGGGACAACAAGTTTGGAATTGGTTCCGTGGAGGATCGAGAATTCTAACAAAATTTGAATCATCGATTCGTTGGACTCGATAAACAATTTTTAATCCTAATCTAATCTAATTATATTCTATCTGTATAGTTTTGAATAAGTAATTCGAAGACGAAAGAAAGGTAAAGGATTTAAAGGAAAAAAAAAAAAAAAAAAGAATCCAATGTATTTGAAATTTTAACAATTTCGTTTCAACTTTTGAGATCGTAAATAGAATTTTAGAATTTTTAATAAATCACGATAATATTCGTAACGAACGACACGAGTTTTCTTCGATAGGCGAATCCTCCGCGAAAGCTGACAGCTGAAAACGAGAAATAGAAGAAGAAAAAAGTAAAACGCGAAGTGAAAGAGAGAAAAGTGAGAGTGGTCCTAATACACAAGTGAGGGAAGATTCTAAAGGGGTTGCCGTTTATTTTCAGATCGTGCGCCCAGCGAAGGGGATCAACGTCGGTGCAAAAACAGCACACCCCTGCCGCTTCCCGGCTCCCTTACCACCAACGGAGAAGGTAACTATGTCCTCAAGGTTATACATACCCTTTCTCCGTGTCTATCTGCGTCGTCTGAGCCGTATACGCACGAAAGAAAACACAGATTGCGTAGAAAAGGAAGCCGCCAAATATCCCATTTCGTTTCCATCTCGTTGATCGTTAAAATCTCTTTTCAAGTCGTGTCATATTTTTGAAAAGTATTCGTCATTGATATTCAATTTTTGAGATAGATTTTAATTTAGAGTAAATTTGCAGTAGATTTTTTCTTTTTTTGATTTCGATTCAAGTTAATATTATATCGGTGGTTTTTTTGCTAATTTCTATTTGTAAAAATGTAAAAATAAAATTTGTATTTGATCGATGTACTTACAAAGGGATGCTTAAACGACGGAGAATAGATCGTGACGGGGATTTTATAACATTCATTTAGTTACAATTGTTACAAGAATTTGAACGAATTCTTATCCTCGCGTTTTAAGTATTTAAACAAGGAATTGAATTCGCGGTAAAAATCAATCTTTTAAAATTTCTGTAATGATCGGATGGAAAAAAAAGATTATCAGATTATCATCTTTTAGATATGTAGTAAAAAATTCAGTCGATGACTCGTTTGTTCACGTATAAAGAATTCTGCTATTCCGCAAATCATCGGTAACCGCTTTGAATATGCAAACAGTTAATTTTAATATTTCGCTTTACTTGATAATCAGGCAAGTTCGATTTGTTAATTTTTTTTAATTAAAACGATAAATTGTCACAAATTTTTCGCCTCGATCCTTCGACGTTTAATTGTTTAATTTCCAAATCCTTTACACTACAAACAGCTCCCCGCAGAATTAACCACCATACCACCACAGAGAATACTGTGTCCTTAAAGGCTTCGTTTTGAAATCTGGTGGATAATACTCGAGTTGCTTTCTTGGCACATCCCCAGAATCGGAATAATAGCAGCGAGTTTGCCTAAAAATAACAAGCGAGATGAGAATAAACACGTAGAGAAATTTCTTGGAAAAAGTGACACCTGAATGTACGACGCGAATCGACAGAGTCAACAGAAGTCGATCCTCAAAGGATCTCGAAAGACGAAAGAAGACGAACGGGCGAACGGTTAATAATCGGTCCTGGTAAAAAATGTACACGGTGTAAATGCCGTTCATTAGGCTTAACGGTTGTTCCGTGGGTACATCGATCCTTCGGCTACGCCATTGGCCGGTGGCTACGCCTATATCCACGTGGTTAACCTTGAACGATGCTACGAACCATTTCTTCTCTTCGTCTTTCGCCGCGTTTTTCACTTCCGTGTCCAAGAGAACAGAGCATCGGAAAGATTCCCGGCTGAACTGGTTTGCAGGTCCGCCAGGACTTTCCGAGTCGGAGAAAGAGGAGAAAGAACGAGAGAGAGAGAGAGAGAGATGTTAAAAGAATTACTGACCGGGATACGGCAAAAATTCATCTCGCAGAAAAGTCGTCGTTGGATCGGGCCGTATTCCCTCTTGTATATTTCAGAAGGATGATGCGTTTTTGCCGGATGTTTAATTTCTCGGAAGAATGGAATATCTGTTGTGGGAGCATTACGAGGAATCAATCGTGCACCATCGTTGACCGCGTTTTTTTTTTTTTCGTTCATTTTTTTTTTTTTTTTGTTCCGAGTATTTTTGCTATATTTTTCTTTTTCTTTTTTCTTTTTTTTTTTTTTTTTTTTTATCCTCCTTTCGAGAGTTATTGCAAGATAAATATTTGTTTTAGGTTTTAACGTATGAGATTCTCTTCCCCCCTCCCTCCCTCCCTCCCCCCCCTTTTTTTCTTTGGTTAGCAAGCCTGCTGAAGCACGGTGACACGGGTCAAAAGTGACTTATGCCGGTTAATTCAATACTTATCTAATTTTTATTGCACGTGGCTATTTACCTGTGAAATTCGTTTCTTGCTTTTTCATACGGTTAATTTATTTACATATTTTCAGTCGAGCGATAAGTACACATGTGTTTCTCTGTAGTTTTATGTACAAAATAATGACCGTTAAAAATTGAAGTCATAAATATCAAAAGTGTATAATTATGCAAATCTAGTAAACACGAAGGAAGAAGTATTGTTCAAGGAAGTAATAAATTCAATGATATTACTTTTAGCATTGTTATTCAAATGAAACATATATCGTTGAAACATTTTAAAAGCTAATTCCCTATTATTTTGTAACTACAATTTCTCGATATAAATAATTATTATACATCTTATACGATTATTTAAAATTATCGTCGCGTCACCTACTTCAATGACTTATCTATTTCAAAAAAAACCTAGACAAGGATATTTAAGAAAATAAAGCAAAATACAATCGTTCAAAACACAAAACAATTATCTCTAATCTATTCTAAAAAAAAAAAATTCAAAATTACGAAACTACGAAATTCTTTCCTAAAACTTCGATTCCTCCGAAAGAAAAGGGAGGAGAAAAAAAATCAAATCCCAATCTCGAATCAAACCTCTTCGAAGGACGGCCATTCCGTCCACCCTCTCATTTCCTTCCCCGAGTAAAATTACACCCATCTCCCCCCCTCCCCCCCCCCTCTTCCCTCCACAACGAGAACAACCCCAAGCACAATCAACCACCCCGATTTCGGCCTAATCGCCCGGCATTTTCCCACACTTTCCCTCTCTCTCTCCCCTCTCCCTCCCCTCCCCTCCCCTCCCCTCCATCGACGTTACGCTTCGGTCCGTTTAACACGCGCCGATGCAAAGCCGCGATTACGCGGAACGGAGGATTAGCTTTAGACGCGAGGTTGCTCGCAAGGTCAAAGATCGGCATCCTTGCCTGCGATTTAACGCTCACGACGGCTGCATAATTCCGAGCAATATCTCCAGTCGCTCTAAAAATACGCGTCGCGTCCCGTGAGAGAAGAGAAGCTCTCCTCCTCTCTCTTCTCTCATTCTCATCCCTCCTCTTCTTCTTCTTCTTCTTCTTCTTCTTCTTCTTCTTCTTCTTCTTCTTTCCTCTTCACTCTTTTTAATTCTCTCTTTCTTTTAACGCGATTCTTTTCGTATCGTGCGTGTATATTTTCATTATCAACGAATTTCGTTTTAATCCGTAGCAAAGTTTCAATAAAGTGTTTCAGTTTCGATTATAATATATATCATATATTATTATATTGTTATAATATATCGAGGTTAATCTAACTTTTTAAAGAGAAACGCTAATCGTTTGAGAATAATTAATTTAAAAATCAATCTTACCGCGTCATGAATTTATAAATATAATTACTATCGATACTGCTACGAGCGCAGAAAATTATCGCGGATGCATTTAACTAACTGTCATTAAATGGCATCTGTATGTACATATATATATATATACGTATGAAAACGCGTGAGAACGAAGTGGAAGAGGTTTCCTTTAGCGTTCCAGAGAGGTGACGCGCGCCCAGATTTTCACGCGTGACGCAGCGCGCGGGATTTTCGTTTTTCAATACGGCCGGTTCGCGGAACGCCCGAAACGACGCTTTTGGCCACGACTAGAACGAGGAAAGCGACCGGCCACTCGATTCTCTGCCTCCGCGCGCGCCGCCCTCGAGATCGTTCCACGAATTTCTATTATCTTCGTCGAAGAGGCCTCTGGCGATCGCCGAGCCCCTCCAAATCGCGCGATACTCGAACTTTGCATGATTTTTGATAGGTATTGAAGTAGCGGGAAAATTTCCTATTCTTATTTTTCTTCTGTATTTTCCTGCTTCGAAATGCTAATTTGATCGCGCGGAGACGTTTGATTCGATCGAGCTTTGAGGGATTCGAAAAATTAGAGGGATTGCGATAATTCTTTTCTATTTATTTATTCTTTTTTCTTTCGATAATTCGAAAGGATTCGTTGAAGAATTTAAGATTAATTAATTATGTATCACTTGTCACATTAATTTCGAAACCGGTACGATTTTAAATTTATCATGAAAGCGAAGCGAGAAATTTTTAAAGTAAATTTCGTTCGACGTATAAGCTAAAATATTCGTATATTAATTAACGCGAGGCACGTAGATCGAACTGTATCGTAAAAGAGTGCATCGTTCGCGAGAAACGTATTAAGCGTCAGCAACGTGATGCGTCCGTAAATTGCTCAATACTCGAGACGCGCTCGGTGAGATAATTTTTAACGCCTCTTTTGATTGTCGTTATCTGACGATGTTGCATACTTTGTTTTTATCACCGTCGGAGGAGACAAGCTCCCCGAGTTTTATGAACTACGCGAATCGTTTTCGTCGTCGGCTGCGCATCGCGTGGTAAAAACGACTTACTTACTTGTAACTTGTCTTTTAAAAATCGTGTTACGAGTTGCAGGAGGAATAGAAAGAGGAAAGAAAGAAGAAGAAAGAAAGAAACGATCGATAATTGTTGAGAGATTAAAGAACGAATATTAGGAAAATTATGGAAAATTCGAATCATGATCGCGTATCGAGAGAAGCTTTGTGCTATCTGGTTTTACCGATGCAAAGGCCACTGCTCTGTCGACGTCACGCGTTCCCAAGCTGGCAGTAAATCGCAGTTGCGGCGAGTGTTCTTACGTTGGTGAATCGTATGGGAAAAATGCTTGAGACGAGAAAAGGAAGAGGAGGAGGAGGAGGAGGAGGAGGAGGAGGAGGAGGAGGAGGAGGAACGTATTCGATGTGAATTCTCATATTTTTCTTTCTTTTCCATTTCTTTCTTCAAATGCGAATGAAATCTGTTGTCGTTCTCTTAAAATTGATTTATTGCTTTATAGAAATCGAAGAAATTTACCAAGGATAAGCGTAATATTAATTGACGTAAATTGCACGATATTCAATTCCACGAGACTCGAAATTGGCATTAGAGCATTAAAGCGAGTTTAACTCTAAAAACATTCTTGCCACGGTTCATCGCTTTCGATACGCGAAGTCGTTACGATATCACGTGTAATTTGCTATAGAGAACGTGATACACGCTTGTTTCCTGATTCGTTGGTTACGAATTTCATTTGGCACGAAACAGCCGAACCGCGAAGCAAATCGTGTACTCGA